AGTTTATTTCTTTTTCTGCGTTTCTTTCAGAAGTCAAAAAAAGTCTTTTGCGGCACTGTGTGTGTGTGTGTCACTCTCTTTTTGCGCTTGCTATTTAAGTGCACAGCTACTAAAACTGGAAGCCTGATATGAGAGCGTATTCCCAGGACATGCTGAAACCGCTTAAGACTTGTGGCTGTCGAGGTTTTGTGGCTGTCGAGCTAGAAGTGCGGGATAAAATGCATTTGGACACATACACACACACACACACACACACACACACACACACACCCACTGACGGGAGCGTAACAGTATGCGTTTTATGCTGCTGTTACACAGTGCGGAGCGGATAAAAAGCGTTTGCTAATATCAGTTATCTGAGGCGTGCACTGTTTGTTAATCAGCATTGGTTGTAAATTGGTCTTCATTTTCATTCAGATGTCGGCTGCCGGTAGTTTGGGAAGTCACAGTGAAATTACGTCGTGTAGCAGTGAAGCGACAAAAGAGAACGAACAAGTCGCCGATGAAGTAACTATTCCTTTTTTATATTTTTTGTGCTACAACATATGCACAAAACGGATACTCGCGAGACCCTGCCTGTGTGTGTTCCGGTGCATGTTATTCGAGGATTTCAATTCGGGGACCAGAGAAGCCTAGGATGCGAAATTTTAAGGGGTCCTGCATACAGATTCATTACCACGCATACCTGGGTATCCTGTGCGGACAATTGAAAGTTTTGGCTCCAGAATAACTCGAAAACCACAAATAGCAAAGTTTTGGTGCCAAAATTAACATGTAACATATCAAACAGTAATGCGGTGGGCACTTTTAACAGTAAGGATCCCCTGAACATAGTTGTACAAGCATGAGCTGGACAGGATTGCAGAGGCGTCCGCCGGACAAAATTGCACAGCCGTTCGCTGGACAAGGTTGCACAAAGGGCATGATCGCACTAGCTACTTGGTGCGTGCCGCTATTCACTTTTTCCCTTTTGCTAAATGACAAAATGCTAAAATTTGTAGTAATAATTTTTTGGGGATATTAACAAGATCGTGGCAGTTTGTGGCGCGGAGTAGCGCATCCGATGTCATCGATATGGAATTGCATGCTTTTCATAGTTGCTTATTGGTAACCTTCAACTTCTGTTTTATTTGCTGACCAAGCTATCGTTATCGTGCGCTGCTTAACCCTACTTGAGAGATGGCTTAGTGTCTCTCCCTGAATTACTGCTGATACCTTTGTGCCATGAAATTCTCAGAGCGGGTATCAAATGAGCATTTTGTATGATAAAATATTCAGC